GCTGTGGCTCAAGTGGTAGAGTGCTAGCCTTGAGCTGAAGAGCTGAGGGACAGCGCCCAGGCCCAGAGTTCAGGCCCCATGACCGGACCCAAAAAAAAACAAAAAACAAAAACTTGAGACCCAGGATCCATGCCATAGAAAGATTAAAAAATTTTAAACTTAAGTTTTTACTGTGTACTATATTTTTCTAAGGTATTGGAAATAAGGAAAGATGAGAAAAACTTGAAGCACTTATTTCTGTTTCCATTGAGGATTTTAATATTTAGAACAGTTTACCTTTACAATTTATAGTTATTTATTTACTTATTCTATTTTTTTGGTGAGCAGTGCCAGTTCCTGAGGCTTGAACTCAGGGCTTTGGTGCTGTACCTGAGTTTTTTTGTTTTTGTTTTTGTTTTCTCTCAAGGCTAGCGCTCTGCCACTTGAGCCACAACTCCACTTCGGGCCCTTTTTTTGGCAGTTAATTGGAAATTAGAATCATGGAGCTTAATGCCCCAGGTGGCTTCCAGCCATGCTCCTTAGATCTCAGCCTCCTGAGTAGCTGGGATTACAGGCGTGAGCCATCAGTGCCTGGCTAGTTATTTTTTAAGGGAATCTATAGAGTTAAATAAACATGGCTATTTTAGTAGACTTGGGCAGCCTTCCTATCCCAGTAGCTCAGATAAAGGGATAAAGAGTACTTCACTGGGACACTGGGAGACCTGAAGTCTGATGTTGACTCTGCCACTGACTTGCTGTGACTGTTAACAAGCCAATTCACTTTCCAAGGCCTGGTTGAACTATAAGATAAGGCTATATTCAAAATCGTTGAGGTCTTGAATTGTGAATTCTGCGCCCATTTGGCCCTTAAGTCAAATCTACTAGTTAAAAGTTGCTTGTGACTACACTTTGGCATCTGATTGCAGAGGTACTGTACAGTTGCCTTTTGCTATTTACAGATGACTCCTATTGAGTGGCTTAATTCAGCAACTGTGTATTTGCTCAGGATCTTAGGAGTTGCCAGTTCGGACTGAGTTTATCTGTGATCTTTTTCTATCTGGAAAGCTGACCGGTGCTGTGTGGTCTGATCCTTGTCTGACTGTTGGTCCTGGTGGTCAGCTGGCTCTTACTCTTTCTGTATGATCTCTGGGTTCCATGAGGTCAAGTCCCATGGCACAGAAGCTTATTAAGCTTCCGCTTACGTTACATTGATACTCACTGGCTGAAGCAGGTCACATAACTGGGCCCAGAGTCAGTGCTGGAGAAAACTACACAATGGCCTAGTGCCGGGAGGTCTGGTTTGTTGGAGGCCATTAATACATCAGTCTACCACACACACCAAAATCCATCCACCTTCAACCTCACGCACTTTCAAGAGCTCCTGGGTGCTGCTAGTGGCTCTGGAGTCATGGTGTTGGCTATTTGCCACAGTCTGTTCAATCATCTGGTCATCTTCTGTATTGTATTTGCATTTTTTCTATCCTTTCATCCATTTCTATTATTTCTAAGTAGAAACAGGATCTGTATCAGGCTGAGGTTTCTAAGAATATGTGGTGACTAAAAGTTAATGGCAAGAAAATACTGCTTAAAAGTTGTATTGGAAAGCTAAGAATCCTTTTTTTTTTTTTTAATTTCCTGTCCTGGTTGGATTTTAAGGAACTCATAAGTATCTGCTGTGTGTATATTTGGTTTCAGCTCTTTTTGTCTATAAGTGTTAGGACAATGGGGACATGAAATTGTACCTTTAAATGATTTGTTGGAAGATTTGTTCCTGGTTAGTAAATTCATGACTAGTGAAATAATGAGTTAATTTTGTTTGAAGAAAAGTTAGAAACACCGAAGTAGAAAAGTCTTTGGGACTATTGTAGGCTTAGAATTGTGTGTGTGTGTGTGCGCGCGCGCGCCCCTGTGTGTGCGCGCGTGCACGTGTGTGTCTCCTAGGGCTTGAACTAGGCTTAGGCACTGTCCCTGAGGGGTTTCTTTTGTTGTTGTTCAAGGTTAGTGATCTACTACTTGAGTCATAACTCCATTTTTTGGCTTTTTGGCTTGCTAAATGGTCTTTCCTGCTCTGCATAGAATAGTTTTGTAAATCTTAGAGCTGAAAGTCATTTCCAGTGAACAGGAAACCAACCAGATGTAGAAAGTTGAAATACTTTACCCACAGTCACACAACTAACAAATGACAGAGTTGACACGAGTCTATGAAATAAGTACTGTATTGGGAGGAACATGAACAGTTGCAAACATTAGTTTCAGAATCTGTCTTCACTTCTTAGTTAATAACAACTATTTTTCAATAATTTTAAATATTTAAATATTTGAGACTGTGATTATAACCTCTACCTCCAAGATTATTAAAAGATGAAATGAGAAAACATGTAAGAATATCTGCTGCTTAGATGTTTACTAAATACTGGCTTTTCTCCAGGCACCTGTGGATCACGCTTGTTATTCTAGCTACTCAGGAGGCTGAGATTTAAGGATGGCAGTTCGAAACCAGCCTGCGCAGGAAAGTCTGAGACTCTTATCTCCAGTGAACTATTCAGAAAAAGCTGGAAGTGGTGCTGTGGCTCAAACGGTAGAGCGCTAGCCTTGAGCAAAAAAAGATGCTCAGCATCAACACACAGGAACAGAGTTGAAGCCCTAGGACTAGCAAAATAGTAAAAATAAATAAATCCTAGCTTTTCTTTCAGTTCAGTTCTTTTGAGTCACTTGATGCTGTGACAAAATTCTAAGAGAAGCAATTTAAGAGGAGGAAACTTTTGTGGTTTTTTTTTTTTCCTTTCAATTTCAGAGGTCTTAGTCTAGGGTCATCTGGCTTTGTTTCTAGGACATGATGAAGCAGAATGTTAGGATGGAAATGTTCTTCTGTATGGCTAAAAAACAGAAACAGACCGGGGTCAGAGTCTGCCCATCAAGGGTACACTCCCAGTGACCTGCTCCTGACTCCTTGTTTCTACCCCTCACCCCCAAAACCACCAAATTATAGATCCGTCAGTAGATTAATACATTGAGTAGGTCAGAGTTCACAAGATTTCTCCAATCACTTCCCCAGAGTTCCACCTGTGAACAGTGTGTTGGAGGCCAAATCTTCCACCCCTGAGTTTTGAGGGGACACTCTGTGGTTAAACCATAGCAATCAGTGTTCTTTCTGCTCTGTTTGGCTGCCTACCATTTTTAGTTCCTGCCTGCCAGTTGATGATGTCGTCTCAGGATGACAGATAAGAGCCACAGGTGTTTTTGATTTTTTATTCTTTTTACTTATTTGTATTTCAGAAACGTACCCCTCTTGCCTTCTCCTCTCTCCTCCGTACTTCCTTTCCATTTATCACCTCACTTTTTTCTCTTATTTTCTGTCTTCCTACCTCCCCGCACCCTATTTTATTCCCCAAGGCTGCTGATAGTTTTGTTTTCATGTATTAGTTTACCTAATAAAATATTGCACCTACAAAGTTGACATCTTTAAAAAGAACTTAGGATGAAGAACTGGCAATAAAATTGCATGTTCTTTTATCTTACAAATGGTTTATGCAACT